GATGGAGTAGTTTGATGGTGAGAGTGGTGATGGTGATTGGAGAGTGGAAGAGTCAGAGCTTAAAGACAGATGATGAGATATGTGGATGTCACATTTTTTATCCTGCCTATGAATGATTCCCATGGTATGATGGCAATACTGGTACAAGTCAATAATCCTGAATGCATATATGAAGCAGAAGCTCAGATAAAGATATGATGCATTGTTCTGGAATAGCATTGCTGTTTGTTTTGCATGTTTCCTGTCTGCTCCAATGGCAGAGCCTGGCTTGCAGCTACATAGACCAGTGCCTGTGATTCCAACTAAATGGGCAAATCATCCAACATGAAACACAATTTATAGTGGGAAATTCAGATACTCTATAGTGCGAGAGGTTCCACTTTCTTCATTTCTTGTCTTCCTGGGCCTGTCTTATATTGTGACAGGGGGATAACCCAATTATGGATATGCCTGTCCATTTGTGGTGAGCTATCTATGATATGATGGATTGGCCCATCTTATGCAGTGCCAAGGGTTTGTAATCCTGTGATGGTTGGATTGGCCTGTCTTATGTTGTAACACTGGTTTTTTTTTCCCCTTATCTGCTGCCTGAGAATACCATGGATGGGCCCATCCTTATGTAGATCCCTTTGATCTCCCTTTCTGCTGCCTGAGAATGCCTTACATGGACCATCCTTATGTAGATAGCTTGGATCTCCCTTTCTGCTGCCTAAGAATACCATACACAAACTTGTCCTTATGTTGTGACAGGGGTGCATCTTGCTAGATGGGCCTGTCCATTTGTTGTGATGATATACATGATACTACTGAATGGCCTGTCCTTATGTTGTGACACTATTAGATGATATTACTGACAGGCCCATCCATATGTTGTGACAATATAAACAATACTACTGAAGGGCCCATCCTTATGTTGTGACGCTATTAAACAGCATTACTGATGGGCCTGTCTTATGTTTTGACAGGGTACATCTTACTGGGGCTGGGCCTGCCCATATGTTGTGACAATATAAATAATACTACTGAAGGGCCCATCCATATGTTGTGATGCTATGCATGAGATTACTGACAGGCCCATCTTTATGTTTTGTCAGAGGTACATCTCACTGTGGGCAGGCCTGTCCATATGCTGTGACAATATAAATAATATACTGAAGGGCCCATCCATATATTGTGACTCTATTAAATGATATTAGTGATGGGCCTGTCTTTATGTTTTGACAGCATACATCTTACTGGGGTTGGGCCCACCCATATGTTGTGACGATATAAATAATACTGCTGAAGGGACCATCCATATGTTGTGATGCTATACATGAGATTACTGACAGGCCTGTCTTTACGTCTTGTCAGAGGTACATCTTACTGTGGACAGGCCCATCCATATGTTGCATAATACTACTGACAGGCTCAACCTTATGTTGTGACTCTATTAAATGATACTAGTGACAGGCCCATCTTTATGTTTCAACAGCAGTACATCTTACTATTGACAGGCCCATCTATATGTTGTGACATTATGAAATGACATTACTGACAGGCCTGTCTTTATGTTGTGACAGGGGCATGGCTTATTATGAATGGCCCTGTCTAGATGTTGCAACACCATAAATGATATTACTCCCAGGCCCGTCCATATGTTGTGACCCTCTCCATGTTATGATAGGCAGGCCCACCTTGATGTTGCAACAGGGGGGTAACCTACCAGGTCAGGCCTGTCCATGTCTTACAGCAACTTAGTATACTTAATTGGTCATGGGCCCATCTAAATGTTTCAACATCCTTACCCACCATGGGCCCTCCCATATATTGTGGTAATGCACTTACAGGCCCATACATATGTTGCTCTCACTTTAGTCCCTCAGGCCTGTCCACATGTACTGGCTAATCTATTTAGGTGGGCCCGTCTTGGGGTCTATATGAGTGTTGGTGTTTTGGCACACAGGCTGCCCATGTGTTGTGACTAAATGTGACTACACTATGTGTGTAGGGGCATGGATGTGTGAGGACCAGGTGGCTGGTAGCTTTCAGAAGTCAGGAGGGGGGCATTGAATTGGCATTGCTGCTCTGCACTACCAGGGGAGCAGGGCCTGCTGTACATAGTCCTCTTTGCATGTAGCTGATGCATGTCTGGTTTCTGCTGCTTTCGAGGATGTTGCAAGTGTGGTCAATGAGTTTCACTGCTGGGGGTGGGTAGGTTCCTTCCCTCCTAAGTCTGAGTTCAGTGGGGGTTGGGGGATCTGAAGCATCGATGATGAAGCACTTGTAGGTGTTTTGGGATAGGGATTGGAGGGAGGACAAGGTTGGGGGGGCCATAAGAACCTCTTGATAGGGCGATCAGCTGGGTTGCTTCTGCTGGGTATGTATCTGGTGTGAATTTGTTCAATGCTATGGGAGTTAGTGATAATGGAAGTGAATCTGATTGAAGACTTTGTTGACTTCAGTGTTATGGTGGTGCCCATTCCACCAGCCCTCCACAATTCTTGAGTTGTCACCAAAGGTGATGAAGGCTGCTTTGGGGAGGCTGTTGAGGTTGATTGTGCAGACCAGGAACTCAAATGCAATGGCCTTGGCCCACCTGATGTCTCTTGTGCCTTCCTGTGTTGCTTGCCACCCCAGTATGAGTCTCCAGGCTCTCCATCTTTCTCTGATCATGATGCCAATGCCAGTCCCAGAGCTAGCATTGGAGAAAGCAGCTATGTTAATGAGTTGGTGTGGAGGATGGATGGGGTGACAGATGTCTCTGTTCTGTAGTCTGTCTGTCCACCACTCTAGATCATTTGTGACCCTCTTGTCTGTGCAATGAGGGAGGAAAGGTTTGTTTGCACCTGTCTTCAGCATAGCTTCTAGCCCAGTTAAGTATGCTCTGCCACATGGTAATGCTGCGCTCATGTGGAGTAGTTTACCATAGAGTTCTTTCACATCTTGTAACACATGTGCTGGGCATTTATGCCATTCATGGATTGCCTTGAGGTACTTGTTAGTTTTGTTTGGGCTAAGTGCCACTACATAATCCTGGAGATCCCATTGGAAACCAATGTATGCAGCTGAGTGACTGAATGGCTGGTCTTTCGACTGCTCCCAGGGAATGCTGAGTGTTTCTGACAGGGCATTGATGTTCTCAAAGCTGTAAGAGAATAGGGTGTTGTGGGTTGATCTGGGTGGAGCTAGGGTGAGGTCATGGATGGGTTGTGAGCAGGCCTCATTGAACTCTTCAGGCATGTCATTGTCAAGTGTTCTCCCTTGGTACCATATGTGGGCTCCTGCCTGCTGGGGATTGTGTGGGTGTGCAGCAATCTCACCGCACCAGAGGTTTCTCAGTCTATTGTATTCAGCTAAATATTTGTGCCTGATATGTAGGAAGATGTGGTCATCTACCCATTGTCCAAGGGTCCAATGCCATGATGTCTCAGAATTTCTGATCTGGCATCTGCTAAGTGTCCATAGATTCCTGCAGAAGGAGTTGCTCCAAATGCGATGCAAGTATCTATGCAGCCATGTGTGCTTGATGTACATACTGTGCTTGCTGGCCATTGTGACAGGTGGAGGGGAATGGTGCAGTAGGCTTCTGCTATGTCTTGTGTTGCGATTTCTGAGCCTGGGGGAAGGTGTGTGATCAGTGCATAAATTATGGAGAATTTTCCCCACATGGTTGGGAAGTCATGGGCATTTACATAGGAATTGATTGATGGGTTGGGGGTGGTTGGGCTGGTGATGTGTGGGAAAGAGAAGTTTTGTATGAGCTGAAATTTGCCTGGCCGGTCAGGCTTGGGGATGATGGAGAGGGGGGATGACTGGAACACACCAATTAAAGTTTCAATCATTTTTAATGGTAGTGGACCTATGAAGCAACCTTTCTTGATTTCTTTATGGATGATCTTATTAAATTCACTCTTGTATATGGAAATGGAGTCTGTTTTGGGGGGATTGTGTATGTGCAATTGGGGGAAAGTTTACAATGAAGCCCCAGCAAAGGCCTTCTGGGATTCTACTAAAGTGATTGATTAGATTAGGTTAAGATCTCAAAGCACCTGACTCCACACTTCTACTTTATATGGGGTTGTTGGGTGTAATTGCTTGAGCTCAAGGACATCTCTGAGCTCTGTGGGTTGTTGCTCTACAACCTGAGCAGAAATGCTTGGCATCATGCCTCTCTGCACAGCCTTCTTCTTGCTGCCACTTGGTGCAGATGCATCGCCTGTCTTTTGCAAAGAGTGCTTTGTAGATTCTTTCAGTGAAGGCTTTGTGTTTCTTGTCCAAGGTGTGAGTGGCTCTGCACTCAATAACAAGGTGGCAGTGGCACCCAAGGCATACTGCATGGGCTGGGAGGGGTTGGGAGTCAGTGAAACTGCTGTTCCGAAACATTTTCTGTCACTTGTGATCAGTTTGGTCATGTGCTATCCCTGTGTGGGGGAAAGAGAGGGGGTGTTTCTATCTGCTGTGGGTTCTCATGTGGCTCGCTATGGAGGCTGATTGGTTAGCAATGGCTGCAAAGTGCTCATTGACCTGTGTTAGCAGGTTTGGAAGTTGGGGGGGGAGAATGGTTGAGCAATGTGATCCATGGATGTGATGCTGGCATTAAAAATGATCATTGGACATGATGCTGGAGTAAAGTGAAGAAAATGATGATGGGGGGGGGGTGTTAGTATGATGTGTAGTGATAGTATGTAATGTCATGGGTTGTTCACATTTGTTAGCTTGCATAGACCCTAGTGGGGAGCGAGGCAATGTACCCTGCAGAGGTTATCTAGCTGTGTGGTCTTCTCATTGTCAAGGATCTTGACTTTCACTATGCTTAGTAGTTCCTCATTTAACTCTGCTAGGGACCACCTGTATGATCCTAGCTTGGATCAGTGCCAGCATTGGCACTGTTGGCTTTGATAGAGTAGGAGTGCTTGTTTGTAGTGTTTGCATGGAGAGTGGCGCCAAGGGTGGCTTTTGATTGGTGTCCAGAAGTCAATGTGCATCTTTACACTTTCCTCTGGCCAGTTGTGGTCTCTCATTGCATCAATCATGTGAAGGGCCACTTCTCTGAATTGTTCCCAAGTGAGGTCCTCATCTTTGATGACCAACAACTTGTCCCTTGTTGTTGAGGCAGGTACCCAGAGGTGCTGGCCATTGTCTGTTTTCAGCAGTGTCAGGGCTTCATTGTCAATGCAGGGGTTGGATTGTTCTGCCTCTGCTAAACCAGTGTTGGTGAAGAAATACAGTTTGCAATATTCCCCCTTAAGGAGTTTGTGTGACACATAGGGGGCAGGGATGTTAACTGGCCCAGTGGGGGCTTTGATGTTATGAATGGGCATGAACTTCACTTTGTATTTCTTGTGCTTTTCAAGGCATGCCACTTCCTCTTCTTCAAGGGTTTGACACTGTTGTTCCACTTGTTCTTCCACAGCTCGTTCTTCCACTTCTTGCACTCTGTGGGTTTCCTCAGCTTTGTGCACAGTCCAATGTGCCTTTTCTCTGTTGTTGTTGATCTCCCAGAGGGTGCCCAGGATGTGGGCTGCCTGTTCATTGTCTACAGTGTCACTGATCAAATGAAGATGCACCTCATTGTACTCCTCTGAGGGGAAATCAGGTTGGATAGCTAGGTTCAGGTCCTCCATGCTGGCTTTGTGGAGAGGGAATGTGAAAAGGAACAGAGGAGGCACAATTGAGGGCTGGATGTGTGAGTTCTGCCTGCAGCGAAGTGTGCTGAGGCAAGACACATGGTCCACTTTGCTTACTTGAACATGGACTACATTCTATGTCACACTTTGTGACTCAGCTTACATAGAATACTATTTTTTTTGCCATTGTCATAGTGAAAAAAGAAAAAATGCATTTGTCAAAGTACTTTTTTCTTGGCCATCATTGTATTGAAAAAAGAAAAAAACATGATTGTCAAAGCACTTTTTTTTTTGCCATCATCAAATTGAAAAAAAAAACTCATCAAACTAGTGTGACTCTGAGGTGAAGTACAGTAGACTTTCTCATAATGCATTTGCTACTGATGCATAAATCTCATTTTGCATGACCTTTTGGGTGATTCCACTGCAATGCAGGGGTAACATCACATTTTTGCATAAATACTAATGCATGGGATCTGGATTGATATTATGCAGTATGAGATGCTCTGTTCACAGAGAGGAAGTCTACTGAATGGGGCTGAGCCACTGAACTGGCTGCTGACAAATGGAGATGCAATACAATGTTCCTGTCAATGTGGATGCCCCAAATACTATCTCTGTCTGTAAAATTTTCCAGTCAAATATAAGAATGGAAATCATCCTTGAACTGATTTGTCCTGCAGCATCATGCCTGCTGAGCTACTGACTTGCAAACCACAGCCCAAACTCTTAAGAGGAGGCTGAAATTAAGACTATAAAGAAGTCTCAGGCTTTGGTGGTGAGAAGACTGAATATTAATAAGCTAACCTATAAAGAAGGTCTATGGTAGTATGTCAGTATGGTAGCTGTAGGTTAATATAGTAAACATACCTCAGGCTTCTGTGGTAAGAATGTTGGAACATAAAGTGCCCCTGTGGTACTTGACCGCTGTGCGATGTTTTGGCTGCTTACATAAGCTGAAATAGTGCAGTATTTTCTACTAGTATTTCCTCAGTAGTTTGTTCACTACTGAGGGTAAGTCCATTCATGTTACAAGTATTCTACTATACTGACATCCTGTAGTAGCCTACAGATATTTCTACAAAGAGGACTGAAGTGCATGAGGAAAAACTAACTGCCTAAGTGCAAAGAATTATTACATAAGTTTGTACACTGTAAGCAAATAAACATAGGGGACAAATGTTCCAACACACCCCCTCAGTGTAGCAAGCCTTTAGAGAATAATTCCCATACCAAGAGAAAAGCATTCATGCTTCTTGCATGACAGTCCCTTGGTGACAACATCAGTGATCTGCTTGTTTGTAGAAATGTACTTGATGTTCACTTCTCCATCTTCAACCTTCTTGCAGATAAAATGATGACAAATAGCTATGTGCTTCATGTGGTCATGGAACATTGCATTGCTTGTCAGGGCTATTGCAGACTGATTGTCAACTAGGAGGGAAGTGGGCTGCATGGTCATGTCCATATCTAGTTCACATAGTAGTGTTTGTAGCCAAAGTATCTCTTTTGCATCTGCTGAGGCTGCCATGTACTTGGCTTCCATGCTAGACAAAGCAACAGAGGTCTGTTTCTTGGATGACTGGCTATGTAACTGCTCCACCAGACAGAGTAAAGATATAGCCAGTTACAGAATGGTGGTCATTTACATCTGCAGCCCAGTCAGCATCAGTGTAGCCTACAAGAGGGCTCATGGAGTCTCTCATGTACTGTAAATGCACTGTGAGGAATGATAATAGTGTGGATTGAGGATGGGGTAGAATCTGAGAGGGAGAGAGTAGGACCAAAGGGGCTCCTATAGCCTGAGCAAAGAGTGTAGAGGGATAGAAAACTGTCTAGGGCAGTCTGGGGCAGTCTTTCTCTTGTTCTCATCTTTTGGGGGTAACTCATCTATTGGTGAAAACTTCCAGTACAAACATACTGTAAGTAAGTGCTGACTAAGGACACAAAAAGTGAACTATACTACTCAAGTATAGTGCCCACAACAGTAAGTAACAAAACAATAAAACAAATAAAATAGAAATTAATACCCAATCCCATAGTAAGGAGATCTCTCTCCTTACAGCACATCAACAGTTTTTTGAAGGTATCTGTAAACTCATTTGAGCATGGTCCAGTGTTGGTTTCCAGGGGTAGCTGCATGCCTGCTAAGCACACCCACAGTGAATGTGAGATCTGGCTGGTGTAAGGAATCTGCATTCCTTGGATGCATAAGCCCCTATCATCAACTGTTCCATGACCATCATTATGTCCCCAGACCACTCACATCCACTGCTGTTCATGTGCTGTCTTCCTGCCTACCTTGCTACCTTCCCATGCCCTTGCTCCCTCTCATGCAATGCTATATCCATGGCCACTGTGCTCTGGTCACATCCTTTCTTTGGACTCTTTTCTTTTTGCCATGGTCTCTTTCCCTTTACACTAGTAGTATACCCTCAGCCTCTGTTGTGGCCTCCCTTGTATGCACATGCTGTTGTGTGGCTTTCCCTTGCTGGTACCCTGTCTTACTTAGGTTCCAGGTTTGCCTGGACTATAAAGCCCTATACTTAGGTACAGAATGATATTTATGCATTCAACCAGTTAGCTAAGGGAAGAGCATGGTGCTTGTGGGAAAGGGGGTGTACTTGTATGTAGTATGCTAAGGTAACTCAAGGGTTGATGTTGGAAAGGACTGGGTGAAAACTGGTAGGTTTTCTGGCCCCAAACCAGGACCTGAGTTATTGAGCTGAGCTGCGAGGGAGGGCTGGGTGCTGAACAGGTCAGCTGTGAGGGAGACATTGAGATCAAGGCATTGGACAAATGGCTGTTGACTCAGCTGCTTTGGATGGACCATGAGAGGGAGTGGTGGGTGGGAGTGAAGAAAAAATGAGAGACTAGAATGTGGCTCAGCTGAGCCTTGAGGAGCAAGTGAGAGTATGAAGGAGAGAGATGACTGGCTAACTGTATTCCCATGTGTAGACTATATTCTTGGTATGCTACATGTTATGCTGACAACTTGTATTACACCACAAATCAAGTGCATGAAGGCACAGGCATGTGACTGCATGAGAGGTGACACATAATTTAACTTCACTAGTGACAGGACACTAGTCTTGGCCAACTGAAGTCATACTGTCAAGTCCTCTGGGGTACAGTGAGCAGAGCTAAGGGTGGTTGCAAAGTAGATTTTGAATGAGAGAGCAGTACAATACATGTGGGTTTATATACATATATAAAGTACCTGTGAACCAAACATTTGAAAACATTTAAATGTACACCTGAGTGTCAAGTCTGTAAAGTCTGGGTTCAAGACTGGACTGGAGACTGATGTGGGCACATGAGGCCAAAGGGTTGGGAGCAGGGGGGGGAGCAGAGATACAGATGGTGGACTGATTGGACTTAGCAACTGAGGATGCAGCACTATTCCCTTGCATGGGTTGCAGTCCAAGTCCAAGGCTGAGACAGAGGATTTCAGAGGAGACTTATTTGATTTCAGATGGAAGAGGTACAGGCTGAGTATCTACAGGTTTATATACTGGAGACAAGCTATAGTACAGAGACTGGTAATGCCAGTCTTGCAAGGATTGCAAAGATGATTGGTAAGGAATAGTATTAGTAAGATATGACAAAGATGACCAGAGACCAGGACAGAGACAAGGTGGGCTGGGGACAAGACTGAGGCAGGCTCGACTGAGATGACACTTAGTAACAACACTGCAAAGCAGTGCTACCTGTGCTAGACCAACTGGAGGTAGAGTTTAGTGAGGCTGAGGCCAGACTGAATGAGCGTGAGGCCAAGTCTGGCTGGGGTCAATGCATGGCTATGACACTGAGTCCCAACCTAGGCATCATTGAGTCATAGTGAGTCATGCACAGCAGGACTACATGCATGACCAGGCAGGGGTAAATGAGTACTGGGGGTACATGTGTCACATGACTGTGTGGATCAGGGCCACCAGTGGATCACAGAAGGAAGGGTAATCAGATGCAGTCTGGCTATGGTACAATGTGGGGTAAACAGGGGAACCAATATAAAAGGAAACATACAGAATGTAAACCAGCTATACAGTCAAGGCTTATGGGCAACAGAACATCATCACTTGAAAGCACAACAAGGGTGAACAGTATAGTACAGAGTCTAAAAAGGAAACAATGTTAGTTGCCACTGTGAGCTGGTCAGTTAGACAACCAATGTCCAAGGCATGAACATCAGTAGCAGGCAAATTGATGCAGGGGATGCTGCCAATTGTGGGGTATGAGCCCACCAAGTTTGCATTTGCTGGGGGAGTTGATGGAGACTGGAACGAAGGGACAAGATGGCAGAGGTTGGGTTGTCTTAGTAGTGTAGAAGATGGCCTGTCCTGCTGAATCTCCACAGGCTTGAGTGAAAAAGTTGAGCCAGTCACAAGGGGTTCCATTAAAGGGGACATCTGCAAGGGCATCTGTGATGGCCTGGAAGTGTTCTCTGCCCTGGCCCAGTATAATCTTCTCCCAGCAATCATGACACCTCTGTTTGACATTTCTTCCAGCCTCTGATACTCCTCCTGATCAATATTCCACACTCCTTTGGTGATTGGCTTCTTCTCCTGCAACCTTCTGTGCTTCTTTTTGGTCAGGGTCTGAAGGAAGGCCCTGTCTTCCAGGTGCTGCTTGACTTGCCTGAGAGAAGAGCCCATGGACCATGACATCAAGGGGGAGTCAGTTGAGAAAGGAATGAAAGGAGGATATCAATGAAGGGCCAAAGTCTTCATGGACAATCTTGACAATGGCCTCTTGTGTTTTCAGGGCTTCTTGAAGGATGGAAGAATTACTGCAATCTAGATTTTTGTACATATGGGCTTTGAAGCTTCTGTCCATGGTTCTGACCTGGTCATAGATGCACTTGCCAATCACTTCTGAGCTTCAGAAGACCATAGACAGCATCCATAGATGCTTGTGGTGTTTTCCTGCTCTCCAGCCATGTGATTCCCAGTGCTCAAAGTCATTAAGCAGCTGCACATAACTGAGGAAGAGGCTTG